AAGTACCCACTTTACCCCTATACCAAGGGCCTCTGTGTAGAGTCCCGCTGTTTTGCCTTTGGCCACTAGAGAGCAGTATCTCCTCTCACATGGTCAGAGAGTCCAGCGCCTCTCCAAGCTGGACGACTGCAGATTTCCCACACCTTTGTTCTATCAGTGCCCAGAAGGTCCATTGTCAACCAGGGCCTTTCTGTGCTGCTGGGGCAAATGAGGCCTGTGGGCCTCTTCTCAGAACTTGTTCTCTTTGTGTTTTTCTTTGGTTTGAAACAATCTTGCTATGTTACCCAGACCAACTTTGAACTCCTTGGCTTAAATGATCCTCTGTCTCGCAGCCCCGAGTAGATGGGTAGAGAGGGGTCACTATTCCCAGCATTGTAAAGTGTTTTCTTGACTGCCTGGCTCCTTTTTAACAACATCATGCTATAGTCCAGGTTAGTTCACTATTTAAACAGTTTACTGTGATGGCCAGCTACCAACTGCAAAATATAAAATTTAGATAGAACGTGTTTCTTTATTAATACAATTAACAAAATTCATCCAGAGGTCTATTGGCTACAGTTACTGTAGTAAAGGTATTGCTGAGTGCAAAAGGCATGTCGAAGTATTTCCAATAACTGAAATGTAGTATAAAATATATCTGTGATTTCGAGCCAGGTATGGTGACACATGCCCGTAATCCAAGCACTCAAGAAATAGAGGCACAATGATCAGGAGCTCCGGGCTAGCTTCAGGTCCAGCCTGGGCTACAGGAGGCCCTGTCTCAAATTAAACCTAGGATTTCAGTGTGAATTGAAAGGAGCCTCGGGCGCTGCTGCCTTTGTTACCTTCACAAATGAAGGCAGCGCTAAAGTTCGATTAGCTGGATGCCAAATAGAGATCTGCTTCCGATTCAAGTGCACAGACCTTAGCAAAGGAAGTCAGGCAAAGGCAGGCAGAGTATCGGATCACAGAAGGAATGCAGGGCGACAGCATCAAACATGGACTTCTCCTCCCTGTGGGCACAGCTCGACTCCTTGACAAACGGGTGCTGTGTTCAGCCCCTGAGTCAGATAAGTCTATGAAGGCGTCATCCTAGAGTTCTTAGGGTACTTACTATGGAGCTTGGAGGGGGACTAAGAGTCATCTTGTCTTAACAATTTAAAAGATATGGTTCATTCAGAAACTCACAAGGAAGTTTGATAAAAGTACCTAACGAAGTATACGGATGAGATATTCTTTCTTATTCCTCCCCCTCTTCGTCTTCTTCCTCTGTATGATGAGAACTGGGGTGACCACGGAAGCCATAGAACGGCCTGAGCACTCTCCTTTATCTGCTGACTCTGCTGAGCTGACCCTAAACTAAACTGTCCTCCGGAGGCTAACAATCCTGGGTGGGCCTCACACCTTTTCAGAAGGTTCCATTGTACAGATAGATGTGACTTCAGCTAGCAGCTGAGCCCTTGGGTCGCGCATGGCGTACTCACATGGAGCAAACACGTTGCTCAATCCTGTAGCTGCATAGGTTTTCACTCCTGAAAACTAGTCCATGCCCCGAGGACAAAGCCCACATGTGGAACAAGAAGGATTACACGACAGACTGAGCCAAGCCACTGCTGCGGCCCCAGCTCTCGGAGCAGAGGAAGGGAGAAATCTACAACCAAATGGCTAGTCAGGACAAAGGGCCCGGCAACCACACCCAGCCACACTGGGCCCCAACAGGAATTGCAAAGACTGAAGACAAATGAGCTGTTTCCACCTTTGTCTGGGCTGCCGGGACAAAGAGCACAATTACACCGGACCTAGGAAATGGGTCAGAGTCCCTGGCAGAGCTAGCAGGAAAATCGAATGGCAAGTCTTGACATCTTCATAAATCCACGAGGATCAGCAATAGCGTTTGGACTTGCAGTCCACCCCCAACAAACCCCACCACTCCTTCCTGGGTGTCATACTGAGCTTCGGGTCTCAAGATTGGGCTCTGGAGACAGTCTGAGACAACAGAAGGGTGCCATTGGCTTTAGGCTTAGCCAGCAGTTTTAGGGGAAGATGGGAGTCAGATAAGAGCAAACAATTGCAGGGTTACTCTAGGTGTGGCTAAAGTTGTTGCATAGAAAGAGCCAGAAAGCCCAAGTGCCCAAACAGAACCGTACACACCAAGGCTTCAGGATCATGGCTCAATGCCTTGCAGTAAAGGTAAGTCAGGGGCAGAGGGGGCTGTCTTTTCCACAACATGGAAGTGGGCCCTGTGCAACCGAGAAGCAGCCCCATGAAGACCGTGGTAACCCCCAGAACTGTCTGGGCACACTGAATTGGCAACACTGAGACCTGTGCCCTGCTTCTGAGTGGAGTCTGGCCTTTGCTGCCTTTACTTCTTCACCTCATCAGCATGGGTTCCACGGGGCCCTTGCTTTCCCACACCACTAACTCTAGATCAGCCTGGCAAGGCCAAGTCCCATACCAGTGCTCTAGAAGCAACTGAGATTGCAAGCTGGAATCCTCAAGTCTACAGTAGGAACTGGCTCTGTAGGGTGTAGTGGGGAATCACCATAATAAATAGATAGATAGATAGATAGATAGATAGATAGATAGATAGATAGATAGATAGATAGATAGATAAAATTAAATAAAACCTCAGATGTTGAGCAGCCAAAAAAGTGGCAGTTTTTTTTCCAGCAAGTCTGTGGTGTGGAGACTGTGAGATGCCACCCCAATGGCTGTGGAGCTGAGGAGGAGACACCACCAGGGTATAGAGAATTCTTGCGAGAATGGGGACTGCCCCTACACGTGCCTCCCTCCGAGAGGGCACAGGCACTTCCTTCTGTTGAGAGATGGTACTGCTTGAGGCTAATGTCAAACCCACACTCATCACTGTCCCAGGGCTGACAAAGTCCCAACAAATAAGGTAGCCTCACAGTTTTCAAAATCAACGCATTCTCTCATTTATTCTGGAGGCCAGAAGTGCACCATGTGCTTTCAGAGCTGTGTTTTTTCTGGAGGTCTTGGGATCTCTCTTGCTTGCCTCTTTATGTTCCTCGTGGGCTCTGGCATCCTTTGGTTGGCAGCAGCATGACTTCCATTTCTACTGTCCCCATCTTCTTCTGGTATCTTCTATTTGTCCCTCTTCTAAGACACAAGGCACAGATTTAAGGACCTCCCTAACCCAGTATGCACGCATCCTTGACTTATAATAATCGCATTTGCAAGGCTACTGTCTCCAGATGAGCTCACAGCCTAATGCTCTGGGTGGCCATGGGCAACAAGTCTGGTACCGTTCAACCCAGACACCATCCAACAGGAACTTTCCGAGGCAGACTGAAAGATCTCTGCGGGGGATTCTACACAGATGTCCCTTCAGTCCAAACACCACACACTCAGGTGATCGTCTGCTGGATGATGAGCAAAAACGAATGGGCATTATATGACAGGAAGATCGCCTTCTGTGCTGGTGTGCACAGAGGATGACGCACAGATGTCCCTGACCCTACATGTTTCTCTTCTCACCAATCGTGAACTATCACAAACACACGGTGAGACACGGAGACCAATGCAATGAGTTCCACGGATTCACCATTCAGGTTCAATCCATGCCAACGTACTTTCAAATCCGCGTCCTTTAAATGGACCTGCACCCGAAGCCCCCCACTACCTGTTCCTAGTCTCCCCTCACCCTCTCCAGAAGTGAGGTCCCTCTCGTCCACCGTTGCCCTCCAGTGTGGCTCCAGGATCCCGAGAACATGGTGGAGAGCATCCTTCAGCTGTGACCTTTTGATCTTTCCCAGGCCGTCGACGTGTGGTGCGCTACACTCTCAAGCTCCTGGGCAGCCAGGCAATCATGGAGGTCAGCGACCACAGCTCTACAGGGTGCTGTACTGCTGAGCTAGGAGGCCTTTGGTCTGCTGAACGCGCTTTTCTGGGGTTGATTTCTTCTGCGGGCTTGCCGTCATCGGCCGAGGAGCACCTGGACTTTTATTACATATTTATAGATTCACAGACTAGCTAGAGTTGTTTGTTCCAATTGGCACCATAGTCTAACCGGCTGATCTAACCAGCTACCCGGGTCGTGACTTCACACAATGTCTGTCACTAGCCTTTCCCCACATGTTCAAGGTTTATTCATATCGATTCTTGCAGCTTAATGCTTTCTCTGCTTTCTCCTCGAAAGGCAGGTGTTTTCACTGTTACTGCTAGTTCAGCTGGAGCAGTGACATCTCTTTATCCCTGCATTTGGGTCTCACCAGGGTTTTTGAAAGAAGCCTTATCTACTAGGCATCAGCAGTGCCCACCCACTCTACCCTCCCTCTTATCCCCCCTCCCGCAACCCTCATCCCCACCCCGACCCCAGTGAACACCATCAAAGTGTCTTGAGTTGCCAAATGTTCTCTGGAGGGCAAAAGCACCAGCGGTTAAGATTCTCTGGCATCTACAGCGGGGGTAGGAGGGGTAGGGGGATGGGAGGGTGGGGGAAGGGGGGAGACTGCTTTCACTAGCTGCCTTCAGTGACTCTTCACAGTCACTACAAATATGCAACTCACACCAGTTGGACCTGGGAGCCCCATGTCCGGACTCCTTTCCAGTGCCAAATACTGCTTCAGACATCGCCACTGTGAGGGGTGTGACTTGGTATTGATGCTTCTTTTAGTTGGAATGTTTCCTCTTCTGTTTTAAAAAGCAAACAAGCACAAAGCAACTACCCTGGTCTATTCCTTCTCGTCGCTGATGCTAAGTCTTTGTCAGTTTCTCCCCTCTCTGGGGTTGCCAAGGCGGGTGCCCAGCAGAGCACTGAGCAACAAAGCAGCTCCTCTGCCCCAGCCCAGACTAGATCCCTCCACCATGAAGACCCATTCCCCTTCTCGGTGCTGTGGGGAAGGTTGAATGGCTTGCACCTTTTCTAGTGCCTGCCCTTGGGGGATGCACGGATTAGAAGGGCAATGTGGCACCCTTCCTCTTGTAGAAGTGTGTGTGTGTGTGTGTGTGTGTGTGTGATGACATATATATATATATATATATATATATATATATATATATATATCCAAAATGTGTTTATTGGGATGGTTCCCACTCATCTCAAATCAAGTGCTTTTCAGTGCTGCTTCCTCCTGAAGGAGCATCCTTCTGTCAGTCTTGCTTTCCCGCCTGTAGGCTGACAGAGAACAGTGGAGCAGCCGACACTCAAGGCTACTACTGTCTGTGCATGGCTAAAGACCGTGGTGATTTTATAGTATCCTGGGCATTTCACATCCATAAAGTAGGAATTGGGCCTCTGCACCAGGCACTTTTTCTTGTGTTTCTTCTTTTCCTCCTCTGGAGAGGGTTGAAGGAGATCCTTTGCGAGAGGCAAGTTCTCGTAGGGAGGTTGTCACAGCCGGAAAGGCTGACCCTTCTTTCCCGGGGATGGAGGGACAGTAGCACCCTAGTGTTCAGCCCAGGGCCCTCCCGAGAGCAGCTGCTGCAGCTGCAATGACTGCAGTGGCATTCATGAACACCGGTGGCAGGCAGGTGCAGGTGAGCAAACACGGGAAAGGGGTATCAACATTATCCCAGAAGGAAGGCAGCCCCGCAGGTGAGGCAGAGACAAAAGTCAGTACATCGAAACTACTCAAGTCCAAACCCTGAGACGCTACGTGAAAGTTCACGCTCAACCAACAACAGAAAAGGAGACAAAGGGACAGGACAGTGATGGTTAGAGTGGGGACAGCCACCTGAGGGTTCCACTGTCCCATCACTGGATGACCCTTTCATGGGAGGACAGAAGCGGCTATGTTGGAGAGCCATTGTTTAAAGCCACAGCCAATACCACACATCAATGTTTCATATGTTAGTTGAGCAACTGGGACTGTAAATTCTTTAAAGGCAGGAATCGTGTCATATGAGAGTCCTCCAAATGCTTCCCCAGCAGTTAGCACAGAGCTGTGCTCATGAGTTTTTAATAACACCCATGGGATCATATTCTTTTGGGTCTCACAAAAAGAATGATGAATAGTAAGTGGATTTACTGGACCATGATCCTTTCTCACACATACTTCTCTTTGAAAAAAATATATTTTATATACTTGGATATATATACATTTTTTCCAAGTATATAAAAAGTGCTTTTAATTTTGTGGCCCATGTCTTTCCTAAAATGTCAATGCAGTAAAGAAACAGATACATTTACTCTACTTTACAGAAATGGTAATTGACACCTAGTATGTTTAATTGACTTGCTCCTAAAGACAGACTGAACCCTGAAACACAGATCCACTGACTCCGCGGGAGCTCTGACCCACAGCTGTGTGCTCCTTGTTCTCCTTCTGGTCCCCAGTCACCAAGCCTTAACAGGTACCCCAGACACATTCTGGCTTTTGTTCTGGTAATACAAACCAGCAACAGAGGTCCACTTCTGACTTCAGCAGAGCCGACAGGTAACAAAATTGGATAACGGCCAGGAGTTTGTGAGCTGTGACTAGCCCATCTCCGTGTGCACGGAGGAAAGTTTGTGTACTGTTTCAGAACAGACAAAAGAACGCAGTGGGTAAGTCTCCAGGTGAGAAGGGACTCTAAACAGGTGCTCGGCATATGCTGGTGCCAGTGTAAACACACACATACACACACACACACACACACACACACACACACACACACACTCTGAGAGCTCACTTCAGGGGTCCGTGATTAAAAAGGCAATGTTAAGTTCTATTAAAATAATGTAAATAATACGAATACTAGTAAATAAATAAGGCATGTGATACACTGATAATGTCAGACTTGGGGAGGCTGAGGCAGAGAATCTCAAGTTCAAGGACAGCCCACGCAGCATACTGGACTGACCAGCTGGAGGAGGAGACCCATCAAGTTGTCAGACACTTGCCGCTCTAAAAGTTTTGAGAGGGAAGAATTTGAGGGGGGATAAAGGCTTTGAGGAAAAGGAGCTCTTTCTTGCCGGGAGATATCAAAGCAGGATCTATGCTAGAATGTCGACGTGTAAAGATTTTTACTATATTTTGTCCTGGATCTTCTATTACTTTATTAATAGAAAATTTTAATGTCCCTAGAATCTAGTCTCCTTCCTAGCACCTAAACCTCAAAGGAAAGCTGACCACACGTGAGAAAGGAAAACGGTCTCCTTTATTATTACAGCTAAGGTAAGATCTTTATTCACGTGGCCATTGCGTAATGGGCCTTTTGCAACAATACTATTAGAAGGTAGGTGCCATTATTAGTATTTTACACAGGGGGCACCACAGCTCAGAAAGGTTACATGTTGCTTAGGGTAATAACATAGGCAGCAAGTGGCAGAGGACTGGAAGCAAATCCTGGTCACCTGTCTCTCAAATCTTTATCTGGTGCTAAATCCTGAGTCGTGCGGTTGTTATGTATTTATGTATGATGGGGTTAGGGAACACACACGCTATTTTTGTTGTCATTAACCCAGGTTTACTGAAAATACTACAGCACACCTGAAAAGATTCAAATGACTCCATGTAGTGTTTTGACATTCATCCCAGCTGAGTGACCAGCAGAGAGAACAATGTGCCCAAACCCAAAAGCTCCGGGTGTCCTTTTGGTGTCAGGATCTACCTCAGTGACGGCCTGACTCAAGACTTGGATCTCAGAAGCATCACCACCTTCCATTCCTCCCCCAACCCCCGCCCCGCCCCACAGTCTGATGGATCCGTGGTTCGCAAGTCTCAGAGCCAGCTTCATCAGAGGCGGCACAGAGGCAGCACACTCTGCTACAAACGCTGGGAGTGAGGGTGATGTCCTGGTGCCGAAGTCCAGGCTCCCTGGTGTTCCCCGGGTGGCCTGGGCCACCTTCCTCCTGCTTTCCCAGCAAAGGCAGCACGTGGTGGTAGGTCGCGGTGAAAGAGGGAAGAGGGAGAGATACTTTGTTTTACAAAGTTACCCACCGATGTTCTCAGAAACCAATTCACTATTACAGGATCCCAGTTGCAGAGTTTGTTATGTGGATTTAGAGGGTGACTAACAGTAACGAGAGGGGTGCTCGGGTGACCACCAACACCACCGACGTTCAAGACAACGAAAAGGGCCCAGGAAGGGAACCTGGGAAAGCAATGCCAAGTCCAGGCGCGCTCTGGACTGGGGATTGGAAATGTTAGAGGTTCTAGAGCCCAGAGCTTCCGGGTTGCTCACAAAGGGCGGGTCCGGCCGTCTATGAACTTCGAGGAGAGTCAGAAAGTGTGGAAATGTTCAAAGCTTCCGGGATTTAGCGACTCGGGCAGCAGGTGGCAGGGGAGGGGAGAGTGGGAGCGCACCGGAGGCACCGCCGTCGCCGCCCTTCCTGGAAGGTCGTTTTTTGCGCTGCCCAGTGGAGAGCGACCCACGCTCTCAAACCTAGGGTCCCCACCCACCTCCCCCGCAAGCTTTGATTGGCCCGCTTCGTCCCTAGACGAGCCAGTCAGAAGCTTGTTACCAAGGCGGAGCTTCCCCAGACCGGGCGGAGGCTGCAGCCCCAGTGTTGTTGCTGAGCAAGGAAAGCAGCTTTGCAAGCCTGTTCAGTACTTTAAATCCTAGCCAGATGCTACCGTAGGGACTGACGGAGGAGGGTGGGAGGCCGCGGGCTCCACCCTAGTTACAGAGCCTGGAGGCAGGGAACAGACACCTGCCTGCTCTGCTGCCCCAGCCTGCGCTTGCCCTCCTCCCCTCTGCTCTCCCTCGCTGGGCAGATCTGATTCAAAGCAACCGGTGGAGGCACTGCCAGGTGCCCAGCTGTCCCAGCTGAAAAACATTGTCATCACCGCCTCACCTCTGAGCAAGACAGAACTGTCTCCGTGGGGAGGTGCGGACTCCACCAACTCACAAGTTTAGGTCCCCCACCATCCGACTATAAAATGAAGACCAAGTGACCCCTATGGGCAGGACTGGACAGGCTAAAGGCCTCGGAAAATAGGAGGCTTAAATGGCAAGACGCCTAACCAGTTAAGCTGACTATCCCATCTCAAAATCCAACTAGCAATGCTGGGGATGCTACAAAGCAAGAGTCTGGCCCAAAGTGCCGCAAGTCCCAGGACAGACTGCTGGTTGAGCTAGTGAGGTGAAGAAGAGTGCGCGTGACAAGAGGGCTAAGGGACAAGAATAGTCTAAGAGCGAGTTTCCAGCCAGAGCGCCATCCCTAACAGGCGGGATGACTGAGACAAACCTACACCGCTGCAAAATACTCCTTTGGCCTCACACCCAATTCCTAAATCCCTGTTTCAGTCTCTACTGCCTCACCTTATGTACAAGTTCGGTGACCGGGTGATGGTAACAATATCAATATTTAATAGCAGTTATTGAGTTTAGTGTGAGCGAGCACTATTCTGGGTGCTTCGTAGCTATCAGCCTATCCCAGTAGAGAAACTTTTTATCTTTGCGTCAAAACCATTAAGAAGCTGTATATCTTGTCTCCTGTCACAGCTGTAAGTGGCACAGTAGGAGGTGAATGTATGTCTTTTCTGGGGGACCCCTTTCAATCTTGATCTTAATCGTCACTGTCACTTTGTAACCTTCCTGTCAGGTCAGGTGTGGCAGTGCGGTTCTTGTAATACCAGCTCCTGGTTGGCTGAGGCAGGAGGGCCATGAATTTGAGGTCAGCTTGGGCTACTTAGTGAGACTTTGTCTCCCTTCCCCAGCAAAGTAGCCTTTCCTCCAGTATTGCCAAGAAAGGTGTGACTCAGCCAGATACAATGACTCAAGCCTTTAATCCTAGCACTCTGGAGGCAGAGGCAGGCAGAGCTCGGTGAGTTTAAAGCCAGTCTGGTGTACATAGGAAGACCCAGGCCAGGACTGCACAGAGAAACACTGTCTCAGAAAGTGGGCGAGGGGGCTCATTCCCTATCTCTGTAGAAGTCCCTAGGAGCAAGGTCCAGCCCCACTCAGAGCAGTGGGAAGGAAGATGGGGAGAGGACTGGAGGAAAAGCGATTTTTCGTGTTAGTGAATTTTACCACTATTTTAAAAAAGAAGAAGAAGCCTAGAGCAATCTTCTCACCTATATGCCCTGTCCTGGTCAACTGAGCCAGTTTAGAACATCCCCCAAGGGTCAGAAATGCTCCCCTAAACTGCGCAGTTTTGTTGTCTCTTTCCAAAATAGGGCAGGCACCAACCTGGAAGCCCAGGCATGGTAGGCAAAGGTAGCAGGAGTGCCTGAGAACTTGGCAGGCAGTCCCATTTTACAAGCCTTCTCTTTCTCCCCTTTCCCTTCTCTAGCATGCCCCTCCCTACTCCCTCCAGCCTGCACCCTTTCCCAGCTCACGGGGCACACCATCTGTCTGTTGCCCCCCTTCCTCGGGACTTAGATCCTTTATTGAGACCTTTAAATAATTAAATGCCCCAAAGCTTCCCCTGCATTGATCCCAGCCCCAGGCCCGGGGTGTTATTCAAAGGCCAGAAGCTGGACTGGAGAGCTGCCAACCCCACCACCGCTATTCAGCTCCCCCCACCCCCAGCTCAGCTGCCAGCCTATGGCTAATAGGGCCTTTCTCCTGCTTCTGCCCCGTCTGCCAAGCCCAGTCCGGGGGTGGGGGGTGAGGGGTAGGGAGGGAGAAGGTCCACTACACGCTCATTTGGTAAAGGATGGGACGGAAGACCCAGGGAGGGTTAGACCAGCATTACCAGCCTCTGTGGAGGAACTAGGACCACTGCCTTCCTCTCGGTTTTAGCCAAAGTGAGACTAGGAGTTGTCAATCACCTGAGCAACGTGGGGCTTGGTCAGCCTCCTCATTCATGCAAATAACCCTGGCGAGTCGCTTAAAGTTTAGTCTAGACACAAAAGAACTGTGCGCCTCCCTCCGGCTGCCCTCCCTCCCGCAGCCACCCGGCCCAACGACAAAAGGCCGGGGCCCAGCGGTGCGTGAAGAGTGAATGGGCAAGACCCTCCCTGGTGACGTCCCACTAGACAGATGGTAACAGTTACCCCGTACCAGTTGCAGGCCGTCTTTCATCCTCCTCCCCACCCCACGTAAAGGAGGAAGGCCGGGTGGCTCAGGAACTCTCCGCTTTCTCCACCCTGGTGGGGGGCGGGGGGATGGGGGTAAGGCCCAGAAGGTGAGAGGCAGGCTAGCTGACGCTGGCTGTTTGGCTGCCAAACAAAAAGGTTGCTGAATGGCCGATGATGGGCCCAGCTTGCCCATCTGTGCGCCTCTGGGGAGCTCTGCCCCCACGCTCCTCCTCGGCTTCTGGCCAGCCTTAAGGAGAGCCAGGGCCTCTGGGAAGAGGGGCCGCGGTCTGGGGCAGCTCACTAAGCCTCAAGTCGTTGGGCTTTGTGTTCTCAGGCTGTCGCTGCGAGAAAATCCCTTGACCTGCATTGTTTTGCCGCTTCAGAAATAGGTTAAATGGAAAACCCAAGCCCTGAGGGGCAGATGGAGAGCTAACTAACAGTGCGGTGGTGGGAATGGTCTAGAAGGCCAAGAGTGGAAGGCTTCCTTCTCAGCTCACCCTCTGCTTGCGGCATAATTCTAGACCAGTCATCACGAGGCTGTCAGAGTTGCAGTTTCCTCTGAACCCCGGGGTATCAGCACCCACTCCGATACCTCCCAGCGTGGCAAAGCAGCTGCAGTGCGATCCAATACTCTAAACAGCAGACAGGCTATGGGAAAGCGGGGCTTTGCTCTCATTGTCCACACACTCACACTATCTGGGGACAGGTATGGCACTTTAAATAGTCTTCAGAATCCTTCCCTGGTCATTTTGCAAAGTGACCAAAATGAAAGAAAGGTGATGGAAACACCTTGGAGAGAGCACAGGTAGAGCCAGCGCCTCACACCAGGCTCCTGAATCCCAGATTCTTAGCTCCGCCTTTGTCTGCCTTCAGTGGTGCCAGAGAGCTTGCCTAACACCGGCAAGACCCCAGGTTCCATCCCCCCAAACCAAAAATCAGTAACGACGACAATGAGACGAAACTGTTCCAAATCAAAGGGGTGTGAGTTATCATCTCGATGCCCACGAGCTCCGGCCTGAATACCCGGCTGCTCCCGCAGACTGACTGAACTGGGGGGGGGGGGTGCAAGCTGCCACGGTGGCTCTCCTCTGAGCTAGCATCTGTCCCTTGCTTCTGCCCACACTGACCACCCATCGTTTGCTTCGACCACAGTGGAGGTGTCTAAGCTGGTTTGGGTTTTTAGTCTCGGCATTAAGACACTGAAGATGTGTTTCCTGCGAAGGGACTTCTCAAGACATCTGTTTCCCAACCCTGCACAAGCTAACCTCACCCGACCCTGGTCATCCCCTGGTCCAGCAATGACGGCAGCACTTAGAGCCATCATCCTGTGCTGAAGCCCGAAGAGTCAGTGTCTCGGGTCCGGTACTTTTGTGTGTAATTATCCTGCCACCTCCTTCCGACTGGCAACATCCTGAGGACCAATTCTTGGGTTCTCTCCCCCTGCCAACCCCAAATTGCGCAAAGATCCATCTCTGCCCTTAAGAGAGGCTCTGTCCTTAAGACACTCTTTGCCAGCTAAAGGACTGAAACTCGAAACCATATATATATGGTCTTTCAAGTTGTCATGTGCACCCAGCCCTGTGTGGACCCTGGGCTCTGACATAATCCTCCTCAACCTTCAAATTCACAGAACACCATGATTTAATAAGTACATTGACATCCTGCTGAACCCTGCTAGCTATCTCTGAATCTTGTCTTAGCACATAAGCAGTGCTCTCTTTCCCCCCCTGGGTGGTACCAACAGGAAAGCCTATTAGCCAATCAGTGGCTATGACAGGGAGGTTATTTGCCTTTTGTAAAAACAAGAGAAGCCACGGGCCCTAAGCCTCCACCCTGAGCAGACTGGTAAGAAAGGAAGTGGGTCACAATGAACACAGGAGCTTCTGTGTTTTGCATTAGGACCGGGAAGTCAGGAGCTGAAATTCCTGATTGCGGTGAAGCAATCAATCTGTCCAGTTGGCTGGTCTGTGTTAGACAAGGATTTTTCCAACTGGAATGAGTCAAAGGGCAAAAGAGAAACTCTATGACAAGCCTAGAACAGACACCCTGCTCGCCATAGTCCTTGCTTCAGCACCATGCTCTGCCCTGTGTTTGACACAGACACTGTGGAAGGTATTGAGCAATGTCAGGGCTGATCTCATGAACCTTCTGTTCAGGCTGAATTAGGACAGATAAACAAAGACAACTTTATAGAGAACATGCGTACATCTGCACACCACACACACAAGCACACTCACTCACTCATACACAAGCACACACTACCACTTCCAAAGATGTGGCCAAGGGAGGACGCAATGGCTTCTGACTGTAAGAACCTGACAAGACCAGGCATAGTGGCACATGCCTGTAATCCCAGCACTCGGGAGGCAAAGACAAGTGGATCTCTGTGAGTTCGAGGCCAGCCTGGTCTACAGAGTGAGTCCCAGGACAGCCAGGGCTACACAGGGAAACCCTGTCTCAAATGATTCCCCCTCCAAGCAAACAACAAATAAACTAACAAAATGTCTAAAGAGTCCAGGATATAGGAAGGTGGTAGAGCTTGTTAGCATTCAGGAGGCCCCGGGTTCAATCCCCAGCAGCAAGATAAAAATCACTAAAGAAATGGTAGCAATTTTACAATAAGTAGCAGTCTGAGCCTGGGAATAATTGATATGTGTGATTTAGATTCCAGACTGCTTCCCTTCTGTGTACTACCTGCAGGGAGTACACTACGCTGTGGGATAAAGGTCCCTGCCATTCAGACCTGAAGGCTAAGAGCGGCAGGGAGAAACGGGAGAAAGCCTGGATTCAGTGTGGCTTCGCTAATGATGATTAGAGGCTTCATTTTAATCTCCTTTCCTCCTGCTTTCTGCCTCTTTTCTTTACTCCACCTCCTCTTCCTTGTTTGCTGCTTCTGTTTACCTAGGTAGTCCTGTATTTCCTAGCGCTGCGCCTGTGGACACTTTGCTCGAGCTGAGCCTCTGTCTTCTGGTTGTCAGATACAGTGCCAGCCCCACAGGGTCGCTCTGAGGATTTAATGAGATGTGTGTCTCACTTTTGTCATGTGCTGCTCTGGTTTCTGTGGTTATGTTTTCAACCACGGTACTATTGCTGAGGACCTACTAAGTGCCAGGCCCTTTGCAAGCACTACAGACACAAGGGGGTATCCAAACCCACAGCCCTGGTCCCTCGGATTTAACAGCCCAGCCGGATCACAGGCAGAAGTGAAACTATCATGAGATTTTATGTATCATTTCAGCTCAAATGGCTTCCCTGCCTGCCTGAGTGAGTGGCTGGGGAGAAACCCAGCGGTGGCTGGGATATGAGGTTTGGAATTAAGGTAGGCAAGCGTTTAGGTATTTCAAGGCATGAATTATGGATATTGAGACTTCGCCAGGATCTCCTGCAGGCGACTCCATCCATTTCATGGCAGAAGGATGAGGAGGGTGACCTGGTATTTATTAAGTCAAATCCCTGGGTTTCTTACACCAGGATTTGACTTAATAAATGTTACGGTCCTTGGGGGTAACCCCGACTTTAGGCCCTGACCCCTCCTTTCCCTCTAGAGAGGGAAATTGGGGATCAGAGCTGTGAACAGGAGTGTTACAAAATGCTCCCTCCCTCCCGAGTGACTCACCAGCAGCCCTGCCCTGGTCTTCCTTCTTACCCATCATTGTTTACATGCTCTCTGAAAGTCAGGTGCCAAGAGGCAGCTGCTGTTTGTGGTCTGTTCTCCCCAGATACAGCAACACGGCCTCCTACGCTGGGCTGCCATTGGCTAACAAGAAACCAGACCAGACTCCCTCCCCACTCCAGCCAGCAAATAGAGAGGGCACAGGAAACACCTGGAGGAGAGGGCAGCTGGCAAGGGAGTGCCGCCCAAGAGAAAAAAGGGTTTGGGGATATACGGTTGGGGGAGGGGGCCGAGTGCTTCATTGTACTGCTCTTGGCATCCACCAGCTGCTGAGAACTGACAGCTGAACACCACCCCAGACCCCCACCCTTACACACACACACACACACACACACACACACACACACACACACAAAGAGAACGTCCCTCTCGGGCACCAGCTTTCATAGTACCAGGACAAGAACAACCATACAGAAAGACTCCTTGGAGGGCTTTTCATAGCTCTGATTTTACCCCAGCCTCTGATTTTGAGCCTCTTTAAGTCCAAGCATGAAAACAGCTTCCCTGAGGAAGGAATGAGCCCACGTTCTATGAAAGCTCCTCCAGGAGTGCAAGTCCATGTATTCGTCAGCTCATTCGTCCGGATTCCCACCCCTATTTGCTCATTCGCTGCTTGTTATCTCTAGCTGG